GGGACTGGGGGCGACACAGCTTCCCCCCATCCCAGCTGCGACTGGGGCTCCAGCCCCTTCTGCTCGGGGGTCTCCTCCTTGTCTTCCCCCCTCAGAAGTTACCTCTCAGGGGACAGCTCACACCTCAGCTGTTTCCTCTCCCCATCTTTGCACCCCTTATTTCCTCACATCGCTGTTTCCTTTCTGCAATGGGGGGGTGGGTTGGGCCCTTCCCGAGGACTGCCCCCCCTGAGCTCGGTTGCCTGTCCCCGCAGCTGGAGGACCTGCCCACCCTCAGTCTGCCCAAGGAAACCCTCAAGGCTCACAGCCGCCTGGAGCACAGCACCCGCCCGGCCTTCATCCACCACCGTGAGTCCCTCTGGAAGCGGTGCCTCAGCGCCTGGTGAGTGCAAATTACCCCAAAAAACAGTCAGGAGCTCCCCCTTCTCTCAATACCTGCAATCCACTCCCCTTTCCTATACCTGTCCTGCAGCCTCTTTGTCCTGGGCCATGGCAGGGGCCCCTTCAGCTCTCAGCCACAAGCAGTGGGAGGGCACAGGTTGCTTCCACACCTTCACAGAGCTGAGCAACCCCCTCAGGGAGAGTTTGAGGGGGTCATAAAACAGCTACGAGCTCAGCACAGCTGGGGGCAGCTCCAGTGAGCGGGTGAGTGCCCCCAGCAGAGATGAGAGCTGGTTTGGAGGCCACTGGGGGGGGTTTCTCAGCAGGTGAGGAGAGTTTTGGGGGGTGGGATGAGCGGTGGCCTGGGTTTCATGGGCAAGGGGGGGCTGACGGAGGTTTTTGCCGCAGGAGGGACACGGGGCTGTGCGGGGTGCTGAGGGAGATCGCCAGCGCCGAGGAGGAGGAGGGTGAGTCCGGGCTGCTCACAGAGGACCTGGAGATCCCCTGGGTCTCGCTTTGATCCTTCGTTTCCCTTCATCCCCATCATGCCCATCCCTGCCTGGCGCAGCTGCCACTGCTTCCTCCACCCGTGGGGTCTCTCGTTGAAGCCCACATGGGCTCCAGTCGTCCTTTTCTCCCCGCAGGGCTGCAATGGGTGAAGACGACCTCGAGCTACACGCTGGCCCTGTGCCGCTGGCTCTCCTCGCTGCACGGCTCCTTGTTCCCACACCTCTCGGTGAGCTTTCTCAGGCTTTAACCCTCGTGCTCGGGAAGGCAGGGACACACACAGACACACACAGAATCGCTCGGTTGGAAAAGCCCTCTGAGATCATCACGTCCAACCGTTCCTGTCTACCCCCTAAACCATATCCCTAAGTACCTCGTCTACCCGCTCCTTAAACACATCCAGGGATGGTGACTCCACCACCTCCCTGGGCAGCCTGTGCCAGCTTCTGACGACCCTCTCAGTAAAGAACTTCCTCCTTATCTCTGACCTGAACCTCCCTTGGCACAGCTTGGTGCCGTTTCCCCTTGTTCTCTCCCCCATCACCTGGGAGAAGAGCCCAGCACCCACCTCTCCACAACCTCCCTTGAGGCAGTTGTAGGTGGTGATGAGGTCTCCCCTCAGTCTTCTCTTCTCCAGGCTAAACAAGCCCAGTTCCCTCAGCCGCTCCTCATCAGGCTTGTTCTCCAGAGCCCTCCCCATCCTTGTGGCTCTTCTGTGAACACGCTCCAGAATCTCCACATCCTTCTTCTAGTGAGGGGCCCAGAACTGAACACAGCACTCGAGGTGCGGCCTCACCAGTGCCGAGTACAGGGGATTATCACCTCCCTGGCCCTGCTGGTCACACCGTTTTTAATACAGGCCAAGATGCCGTTGGCTTTTCTGGCCACGTGGGCACAGTGCTGGCTCATGTTAAGCTGACGATGTGGCATGTCCTGCGATGCTGTCCCTGTGCCCACGGGACCGGTTTGGGTGATGGGAAGGCTCTTCCCAGCGGACACCACAGCGAAATATTCATCTTGGTGGCGCCCAGCTAGAAAAAACCTGCAGGTTTCCCTCACCAAAGGGAGGAAAACGGGTGCTGGAAAGGTTTTAGGACAACAAGTGCTCCAAGAGGAACTGAAATTGGGGTGAGAGGAGAAGGAACAAGAGGGTGTTTGGGTACAGGAAGGTCCTTGCTGCTGTACCAGCTCAGCGTGAACTCTTTTTGCTGCAGCTGAGCAGCGAGGACATGATCGCGACGTTCTCCCAGGCTGTGGACTGGTGAGTCCTGCGCGTTGTGAAACGGGTCGGGGGGACGGGGTCACCCCATTTTTCGTGTGCTCAGCCTCCCCCTTAGACGGATATCTGGGGAAATATTTCCCCGGTGCGCTGCGCCTGGGGGAAAGGGCGTTAAACTCGATCAGGGCTTGGGAATTGCCTTCAAATCCTGACCCTGGGCTGTTGTTCACCAGCCCCATGGCAGAGCCCGGCGAATAATTCCCAGGAACGGGGAATCTTGCAGAAAAAAGTCCCATTTGGCAGCGAAAAGGAAGTTTTATTTCACTGGGGATTGCCCTGAGTGGCTGCTGGTCCTGGCCGCTGCCCGAGAGCCCATCACCACTGCCTTCAGCCCGAAACGCCGGTGGGGACGCCTCACCCTGCCCTGTGTCCCCCAGGGCCGGCTGCACCGTCCGGTCCTTCGCCTGGCACCCCCACACCAGCAAATTTGCCGTGGCTCTTCTGGATGACTCCATTCGGGTCTACAACTCCAGCAGGTGAGTGCTGGGGGGTGCAGATCCTCGAGGGGTGCTCCTGCAGCCCCGTCGCTCCCCGTGTCGTCCACTTCCAGCACGTCCCGAAGATTCCCCCAGCACCTCTGCCCTGTGCGCTGCTCGGGCTCTGTTTGCTCTCTGTCCTCAGAACTCCTCGCTGCGGAGCAGGAGCTCTGTGAGGACATCTCCAAAAATCTCTGAATATTTGAAATTTGGGTTTTTGGGGGTTTTTTTTTTTCTTCCCCTCCCTGCTCCGTCGCTCCCAGGTGGCCATGGCCTGGCTGGCGCAGCCTCTTGGGCATCATTTTGGAGTCTCCTTTCTCCTCCAGGTCCCCCTGCTCCCCCAGGGCGTGCAGAGCCCTCCTGAGGCGAAGACTCAGCCGGGTGATCCTGCAGCCCCCCCCG